TCCGATTGTAGTTCATTCATACTGTAAAGCGGCTGATAGTTGAATGATGCAAATTAGAATGATGTATAATTGATTAGCTCTTTGCTACAAATAATGTAATATTACTCTTCTTTTTATTTGTCATAAGATGCATCATATTTCATGATTCAAACCTAGCCCTACAAGAAATACTTACAATAAAAATTTATAGAGGTAATAAAAATATATCGTGATATAATGTCAGTTACCGAACACACCCCTATATAAAAACTTTAATATGCCAAAATTTATGCTATAAAAGTGATGTGCCGAACAGGGCCTTAATCATATTTAATATTTCCAATTCTGTATCATACCTTTTACATAATAGTTACCCATAGCTCTTTTGTAACTATTGGCTATTTCTCTTCTATATATCTCTCCAAATCCTCCCAGTTATTCAAAACCCCTACCTCTCCAAGTCTCTGTTCCTTCTACTGGCTTGCACTTTCCCTTTCCCTCTGTGCTCTTCGCTATAGTGTGCTCCTTGATGGCTCCGAGTCTTTGACTCTACTAGAATTGCTTCTCAAAACTTAGGAAGAAGCTCTTTTTGGGCTTGCAGTCACTGGCAACTTGAAGTCTACATTTGACTGTAGAGATAGCTTACTTGTAGCTACTACTAGCTTTGATGGAACCTGTTCTGAAATATTTTGCTTATATTCAAATTCAGCTCTCAGATTATCAGAAGCTTGTTAAGTGATTTGAGGTGATTGTATACTCTTTTTGGCCATCCACCTTGGGATCCTATAGTCCGAGTGTAATGGGAACTCCTTCAGGTAGATGGTTCCTAACGATGTGACCACACCAAACTTTGAATCTATCAAATACAGCTCTTGTAAAATATAAAGAATCAAAGTAAACGGTAAAACTTAGTATTATTAAGCTCTGGCTTATGTCAATTAATGTCTCTCAAGAGGATGTTGATTGTGTCGGGGTAGGAGAGTTCTCGTATAATCTTTAAGTAGTCAGGCTTATACCAAAAACTCTCCTATCAGGTGACTCCGACCATCACAAGTATGCCCTTCTCTGTAAGGGTTGCCCAGTACCATTACCATGTTCCCGAAGGGCCTAATGTGTCAGCGCACTCTAGCAGTAATCTTCCATATACAAATCAGTTCCTGCGAGGTGTTTACCAATACACCTGCCGGAGTGAAAACCTCTGCACATCGGTGTCTTGCCAGTGGCTAACTGTCGAGACACTTATGAAAGCTAACTAAATGACTCTCTTCCCATGTGCTATGACCTATGCAAGCATTCATAGATATCAGCTGTCTTGTAGTTAAATTCTATCTATCTTCATTGCGAACTCAGAAGATCTACAACACTCCCATGAAGAGCTGTGGCGGTGGCGGGACCTGTGGGTGCTACCCATAGTCTCTTACCTCTGGAACACCACTCACCATAGTAAGTATCATGCTATTAGAGTCCTCAAACAACCCACAAAGATCCTACAGCAAAGGGGCACGTGTAGGCATGATTGGGGTAAAACCTTCCCAGATGTCTCTG